ACTGCCAAGTTCTAAGCGCTGATTGGTATCTGTTGACCGAACATACTTCAACTAGATTAGAGCCTGATATTCCTGCAGAAAAATTTGTGAAATGATACTTTAAAATCAAAACACTACAAAATATCGATAAGAACTGGTTTGTCACTGCCAAGTATTCTATAAATCCGTGCAATTAGATTATGGTATGCTTTTATGACCCAGAGACTAAGATATTGAAAGGATAGTGTAGGAATAAAATTAGGTTAACTCGGAGATTATGTATGAATTTATGTTATAAACCATAAGTTGGGCACCGATTTTGTTACGAGTAGTAACAATGACTAATGGTTATTTAAACCACGATAAACCGAGCGGATTTTGAACCCATGACCCTTTGGTTAGAAATCGAATACTAAGATAAAAAAACTACGTTTCTGTATAGCATAAATGATACCGAAAGTTGAAATCAAATGGCAAACACTGATTGTAAACTGTTGGTATTGTGAAGAGCCAGCAACATCAAATTAACAGAAGTGAACAATGCTGCTATTATTAAAATCATTATTGTAATGATAATAATAATTAGTAGTATTCTTTTGAGGATGAAGTTAGTAGCAATAGTGAGAACAACCAATAAGATCAGGAAAAGGAAAATACAAATTATGTTTAAAACATGTTAAGACAGCTGAACATATAATATAATACAATAGAAATTAAAACAAGCATACCTCTGCGTCCTAAATTAAAAGTTTTCCACATATAAAAATTTGTGATCAACAAAACACGAAAGTATTGCGAACAAAGAAGATTCGGGTATCACAATATACTGAACAAATAGAAATAAAGGGTGCTCAATACTGATGAGATTTCACACTTCTACTTAGCAAGTTATCAAAGACAAAAGTCAAACAGTTAGAGCTAATTCGTCAATACATATTCTAGACAGTACTTTACAGCGAAAATAGAATCTTCTGCATCCAAAGTATACATAACATGAACATCTTGAAGCAACAGAACGCAAAAACATCAACAAAGTTCTTTAGAATTCAATGGTAGTTGCAGTTTTCATGTTGACAAAGTAGAAGCTGTGACTACATTCTACGTGGATGCCTCAAACTTACAAGTTAGCAGAGACATACCCACTTAATGGTGGTAATCAGAGATAATATATATTGATAATTTATTTGTCGAGTCAGTCAGTTTATCACGCACAATTTTCGAAAGATGAGACTAAACACAATATCACTACATGTAAGTAAATAAAAAATTAATTCAATTCAAATGAAACAATACAAGAAGGATTCGATCAAAATAGTTCGAAGCGTTTTAACATGAACAAGGGGGTGCATGACCTTGCCAAAACAGAGTACCAAGTGCAAAGACAATTTGTAAGTTCTCTTTCCACCTGATAAAGCTGAATATAAATTCTTCTTATGTCAAGTTCTAGACACCGCGTTCGGACAGTTCAAACTTTTTAACAGCTGAGAAAAGCTAGGACGGTGGTTCCACTGCAATGCTATGCAGCCAACTGTGATTAACAAAGTTTATCCTCATTATGTCTTCTTCACTCAACAATCCTTTGTCACAAACCTGAAGTAGGATAGATTGCACTGGTGTTCAGTATATCAGTTCTTTTACAGGTGTTTAGGTATACCAGCGAGAAATATGGAGTGAGTCAACAAATGCTGAAAGGGGTTTCACTTTCAAGCTGAGATTTCATCTATTAGTGCTGATGCAACTTTCAACACTTCATTTTCCATCCTTAAACGGAGCATCATTTCAGACCAGTTCTGAAACAATAACTTACATTTAACGAATGTGAAATGTGCGTCAAAAGATTTGCTCACTATGCGCAAACGAACCTGAATTTTGTCAGCCTCCATACCAGGCATGACTATGTCGCTGATCACCAAACTTATTTAGAAGGTCTCCAGTGAGATTTCAGCACGAATAGAAAATTCTGCTTAGAAATGGCCGACTTGCGGCATCTGAAGACCTACTACACTTTGAACGTACTGCGATATGCATCGGGCACCATGATAGTCCATCAGGCTAAGTAGGTAATGTTGTATAAAGCAGGATTAGGTTTGAAGAGAGCTGAGAGTGACCAAACTAAGAAATGGTTAGTTGACTGGGTCTTCGGATTGGTACGAATCAGCTGATAGACATTTTTGGCGAAACGACTCGAAGCCAAACACTGACGCAGATTTATTTATGAATCTTCCAGAAATATTGGTGATGGATGGTGGCTAGCAGTAAAACCTAGAACGTACATCTCATCCCACTTGGAACTCGCCAGCGAGATGTAACTGCGTCCTAGTGAGCTATGTTGCCCCCGCTGGGACTCGAACCCGGGACCAACCGCTCCAAATACCGGAACGTTACCCACTGAACCACTGAGTCACGGTAGTCAGTTCTTTTTTGCTGTCATTTGTATTATCCTGCCATTGATTAGGGCGAATTGATCTGTGTCTATTGGTACATGGGTTCCTGCGAGGATGCCTCAATATTGTCCGTCTAACTTCCATATCGATGATGGATGGTGGCTGGCAGTGGGATCTAAGTGACAAGCAACAACATAATAAACTATACCTGTTGCACAATAAGTGGCTATCGTGATTCGGTGGTCTAGTGGATTACGCTCTGGCGTTTGAAGCGACCAGTCCCGGGTTCGTGTCTTAGTGGGAACAATTTGGCTCACTGGGAGGCAGGTATATCCAGGAAAAATCAAGGTATCCACGCAGGAGACCACATACCATAATGCAAGTAACAACATAATCTTCCTAAAAGCCTAACACTTCCTAATAACCACTTATTTGTTTGCCTTCATCTTATTTTATCCCTGTTTCTCTTAATTCTCATTCGATTTTATTGATTTTCTTGCTTTGCAATTACGAATTGCCATCTAGGACCAACATATTTTTATCTACGGCTCTGTATTGTTCTAGTTTCTCTTGAGTTTGTAGTTTTCCCTAACTGGTTTCAGCACTGAACTAATGAAACAGTGTCTATCGCAATTCAGTAGCCTAGTAGATATTTTCATGACCTTTTAAAGCCTTGGGTGTGGGATTCGAGTTTCGGTGGAAACATCAAGAATGAGATGCTTATACATTCAGCTGAAATATAGTCACTAAAATCCCCTGTTAACCATCAATCACTACTAGTGAGTTGAAATTCAAACCAATATTGAAAGATGTGCATCATGAACTATCATTGTAAACACAGAATTACAAAATTCGACCATCAAGTCAACGATGTAAAGCTTTAAGCACATACAACAAAAAGAACAGAATGTGGTTATACCGTTTAACAATGTTCCACTATTTTTCAACTGAACAGTTTAGCTGAAAGTATTTGATTCCGAGATAACCTTTTTTTATCACAGATGGATATAAACACAAGAAAATCAGAAAATATTGACGATCAGATTGGAATTATAAACAATCTAAACCTATTATCCAACTAAATGTCATCTGCTAATGAATACAATCCTGATATCAGTATGTTGTTTGACAAGGAAACTGTAACTACAGTCTATTCGAATGATGTGTACCGAAATACTGAAAATAAATTCCTATTCAATTCAGTCACAATAAATGACTGTGTGACATTTATAATAAACAAAAAGTAACAAAAAACTTATTCTTTGTGATGACACTTAGATAAGCAAACGTATTGTGTATCGATCTTATCTAGTGGTTTAGAAATACTAGTAGACATTTCATGAATTCGTTATATCGAAATCTGTTCCTTAAAAACACATAACACCTGAGACTGAATCTTATAGTTCCTTTTTTGTTTTTGTTAAGAGGATGGAACTTTAACAGAAGCAAGATGTACGTTGTTAACCGCCTGCATGAACATTCATGGAAAAGAAGTCAAAAATCATCACTCATACATATAGTTAGTTTTCCCACTCACAAGAAGCCAAAAATATCCTTCACATATAACCATCTTGTTCAACATGTTTTTTGAATCCCCTCAAAAAGCATTACTCAAGGTCACTTGTTTGAATCTGGCCCAATAACCATGTTGGATCTTAATGCCAATCAATATTCCTGTACATGGAGATAACTCTGTCAACTAAGGTTGTTTTTGATAGCCGTCATCAAGCTATAGTATATTTGTTTTATTTGAAAAAAGCCTCAGTATAACATGGGCACCAAGAAATACAGTCCAGAAGTGATATAATTCAATCCCATATATGCGTTTATATGCCAAGGTATGGGTCAAACTCAGACACGGCCGCTTAGGCCTAAGTATGTGATGCAGGGCTGCATGAGACGCAAATCCTTAAACCAACGACTCATGTCTCCGCCCTTGTATATCAACAGCAAGATTCACACAGATTTGAAATAACAGTCTAAACAAGTGACATTCAACTGGTCTGATGCATATAGAATTGAAAACATTTTGTTCCTATGAAGGTGTCCATGGATTTTAACACATGCACCAATTGTCCTGGCTTCAGAAAAGCGCAACGGCGGAAATTTTGATCAATAACAACCACCTACCTTACCATTCTTATACCTCAACACAGCTACCAGCTCAAATTCACCATGACACACAGAAATTTACAACCTACAACTGTTCCACGGCTCGAATCTCAGATATCTGGAACTTAAAATAAGCCTATTATTATCCAACTGATGGCAGTTTTCAGCTTTAATAAGTAAAAAACACAATTCTAGCATTCTTCACCCCCCCCCCCCCCCGGGGTAATAATGTTGATTAAACTGCCTACTATGATGTACTGTTTGTTTGTTTGACCATGATCAGACAAGATGCTAAAATTACTTGTATGCGAATTACCTATTCCTGCTCCTTTCTAAACTTGTTACCTTAACAAGATATCACTAAGATATATACACATATATTTGCATATTATTTCTAAAAGTAGGAATTCAAACGATAGGTGGAAGTAACTACATATATCCTATGGAATTGAATAATGAATCATAGATTACGCTGAAACGATGAGAAATTCGTCCTTGTATTCACACATACACGCACACACTTACCTCGCGGTTCGAAGTGTCGCTGATGCAGAAATCGATGGTTTAAGAAATTTTCTGTAAAACCGAAAGAAGACAATGGACAAAGAAAAGTATGGTTAATTAGTAATAAAAACAGAGGAGTAGACTAATTATAAATTCGTCTGTTTTTTAACAACAACAAAACACCGATAAACATAGACAACTTTAAATCCAATAAATTTGTCATTGCATAGTAAAATGGGAGGATTTTTAATGAGTGATTTCATGGGGAAAAAATCTTCGAAAACAAAATGACTTTTTGCTATAGACAATTAATGTCCAGTGCTCTCAGGTTTCCAATGTTCCCCTAACTTGATGTCAGTCCATGATGAATTCAAACCTAAAATCAATTAATAAACCTCCACAAACCTCCAGATAGAATTAATCTAGTGATCGTTGGCAACTAGCTTCGAGAAGTGATTCCCGAAGTGCCAATGAGAAGTCGTGACAAGTGGAGTCAACCAAGTTGAACATCACAGTTATTCAACAACGATACTGGATGTAGGTCACGCAATATCGTGACCTGACAGAAGTAGGGAATATGGACCGTCGGATTCCGACCTAGTGGCTCAGCAGCAACATGCTGGCCGCGGAGCCTGAAACCACTGGGTTCGATCCCTGGTGAAATGGGTTATGGGTGCGCACTGCTGACGAGTCCCATACTAGAATGAAACAGCTGTCCAGTGCTCCCAGACTTCCAATGTTTCTCCAACTAATGTCTGTCCATGATGAATTGCAACCTAAAATCAATTAGTAAACCTCCACAAACCTCCTGATAGAGTTCAATAAGGGGGTTAATAAACTACCTTTCTTTTCCTGACTAAACTATCAATACAAATAAATATAATATCGACTATTTTAAACCTACTTATCCTTTCTTATATGGAAGATGAAGAGTTAAGATTAGGGTAGGCTATCCTTTAGTCTCGGATTGAGCGTTGGCCAACTAATGAAAGATGTGCGAAGCTGACCTGCATGAAACGTCCTGCTGACTGCTCCAACTAGGTGCCATGATAGGATATCTCTGATATATCAGTTTAACTGTTCCTGCGAAACAAGATGCATAGGGCATACGATTAAGCAGATGCATTTCTAGGTAAGAAAGGATTCACCGGAACGGTTCAGAAAAGATGAAGTGAAAGTAGTGAGAGGTTACGTCCGAGTGCACCTAGTAGACACAGGGTATCCATATAGATGCCAATGAAGCTTTCAGTGCCGTACATCGTATTACAAAAAACAATATCACATGTAGCTAGCCGATGCCTGCTCAACACGGTTCAGGCTGTTGCCCTAATGTTCATCAAACCCGAACTGTGTATTTAGAAAGATCATGTTCAGATGCGATTCCTTTCTTGGTCTTCACTAAAGTAAACTCCACTCATATCTTCGTTATTCGTTGTCTATTCGTTCACGATTACATTGTTTATCTGTATATGTCATCTTAATCTTGGCAAATTAACAAAAGAAAAATCGATTTCCTTACAGTCCCTAAATGTATTCACTCCAAACTTGGCTTGATTTTACGCTGTACAAATGCGTCTTATAACCGTAGAACCTGATGAGAATTTATTGGAAAAAATTATTCTTCATTCCGAGTGTTGCGTTGTTATAATTCTCATACATATACATAGGATATTGTTTGGTCAAAATTTACAATTTTACCGTTTATTACCATCTTAAGAAGGTTAAATTCAAACATCTGAAGTTAAATAAAAATGTGCTGTGTTATCAAGTAACTCAGCTAGATGACCTGACTAAAGTCTTTATCGATATGATCCTGCCAATACTTCGGACTAGACAACATGAAAATAATAACTATCTGAAGGTTGATAAGATTTTGACTTGGTCAACACATACTGTTCTCATATGTATGGTGATTATGAAGTGTGAAGAAATGACATAGACAGGTACTGCTAACACGACATCCAGCATACTGTAACATTAGCCCCAGTTACTAGATCAAATTAGCGCGACAAGTAAGAAGAAATAATTTTGAAAAACATATTTTTATAACAGCAAACTTAACAGAATCGAAAGTAAAAGTAAACTCGTGATACAAGTATTGTTATGTAGTGGTACAGGTTTCATTCCATATCAGATAGCGTAAAGCTTTTAGCAATCCATTTCGCCTATCCGACAAAACCTAATTCATGTAATCTACAATCCCCTAAACATACAGACTAATCCATGTAGAATCTTATGATGAAGTGTAACACACAGAGAGGAAGCCAATAGAAAAAGAATGTTATTGCGATACACAAGGGTGAATGAATGCTAGTGAAAATGCCCAAGATTTTGAAAATGATAAAAAGTGTATACGTCTACAAACGACTCAGACATTATGATAAGATTTAGTTTCACTATTCTTGCGCCTTTTCCAACATTATCTTACTTCAACTAACCTCCCGTATCATGAACGACTTTGATTTTGCATAGGTAATACATGTCCCAGCGAACCCAGCAGACTAAACAACACAACGTTAACTGGTGAAAACTAATGAAATGTTGAAACTTTCCAAAATGTTAAAGAGTGTCACCGATTTCCATCCATACCATTGAGAAACCTAGCCAGACAGTCAACACCTCCCGACATAAGTTAGACCAAAAGTCAAAGACTTTATGCACTGGTGTCATGTCTTGATCTAGCAACCCACTTCCAACCTGATCTTACTTAAGTTAAAATTGCAGGTCGAAATAGGTGATAGATCGGGATATACAACATATATCAAAGCTACCTCAGTCAGTGAAGGTTCAGAGCCTCATCGAATGACTTACGTAGTAGCGTAGTTCTTCAGCAGGTAGTAGTTGCATATCTCACTAATCGGTGTCAGGTGATGTAGATGGAAAAATGCCACATGGGCCTTCTACTTCCAAGGTGAGTTTTCTTCAGTAACCAACGCGTTCGTGCCGATACAACTCCTCAAGTAAGTAAAGTTGCCAATCCATTCCACCATTTCACTGCCTATCCTTAAACTGAGAGTAGCTAAAGACCAATCTTGAAGCATCATCTTGCACTTTCTAGGTGCGAAATGCATCATTAAAATGCTCAGATTTCTTGATATTTTGTCCATATCTCTCACTTTTGCCACCCAACACTGCTCACAGTCACTGCAGCAGACTGAATACTAGTCGAGGCTTCAACAGAAGGAGGATCGCTGACATATTTAAATAAAGCTTAACAGGTTATCTTCTTCCAAACGAGCCCAGAGAGGTCTAACTGCTACATGTTTCCTACCCTCATTAAGGTGCTAACCTTTCACGTACACTTACCAATGCATAGTTGCAGTCCAAGCAGGTACTTCAAAAAAGCAGCAATTCTGCACCGATTCTCTCTTAGGATGGCACACAGTGATATGATTTATGTGAGTCCAACGTTGTTTTGACGCTGAAAGATTTCTAAGTGAAATTGTATGTCCATGTGCTTCAAGTTATTGCTGGTCAGAAACAAGATTTTTAAAATAAAACTGTGAGACGAGCACCGTTGTCGCTTCATCAGTTTGGTATACCGTAGATACCCTCCAAAATACCTCTGCGATTGGCGCTCAAGTCATGTGCTATTATGACTATGGTTTCTGTAGCGAAATTGACAGTTTAGACGAGAATGACGATAGTCTATGGTCACTATGATCAACATCCATAAACAATAGTAAAGTCTAATGAAGGATTCCAGTTGTTCGATAACTAAATAATACAGTATATGAATGAACATAGAGATTGCATGGTGCAAAACAGTATAAACATGAGACTTTATCATATGGATAATGTGACCATCAATCAAGAAAACGCGAGCATAACTGTTTATTTTTGTGTTCGTGTAAACACAACTAAAAATGTATGGGAAAAACTTAAAGAGAACCATGAATCACGAGTGACAACAATATCTCCTGATCATCCGATTACTATTACTTTCATTATTCTTAAAATAAGAAATGTATTTCATTCAAATGAAAGTTAATTATTAAGTAGCTCTTGTGATTACTTCTTCATTACTGATCAATCTATTTATATCACAAAAATAGTAAGGATAGTTATTTGCTACATGTAAGCAAGTAGTGTGAACAACCATTAATCATATGATCAATAGGAATTTATACACATAGCTAAGACTAGTCATCCTACTTCTGAGTTAAAAATGAGCCAATTTTACACATGGATTGATAGTTGACAAAAATAATCATCACCAGTTATACACGAAATATTGATTGTAATTATTTTATCATTCAATTGAATAAATTATAAATTTAATGTGGACTAATGGCGCTTCAAGCTGGCATATCCCATCTAGAATTGTGACTTCTTTCGCTCATGCAATTAACCAGATTATTTGGCTACGGGTATTGACAACTAGGAAGCCAGGTTATAGCATCAAGTCTAACACCATACAACTGACTTAATAATCAATACAGTAACCTGTATTCAGTACTTTGTCTACATTTAAAGAGTTATGGGAATCCACTATCGAAGTGACGCGGCGATTTCCAATAATCAATCAACTAGCTGTAATCAAAGCCACCTATTAAACGTTGTTCTGAAGAAGCCTAACGTTGAGAAAAATTTTGTTTTATTCTCCTAAACACGCTGAAATCATGTTAGTACATATTCCTATATAATGATTATCTTTAAATCTTTAATTTATGCTACTTCCTTTAGTTTCGAGTCTCTTAGATGACAATCGCTAACTCTTACCGACTACGGAGTGTTCTCAATGACGACTTTAATAGTAGCAATGGTACTGCTGACGAAATGAACATTATCATGTGATATATGACTTTTTTCTACTTTTATACAGAAGATTAAAAAAAACAATGAGTCCGAATTCTCACTTACGAAAGTCAATTCGCTCTGACGGTTTACGAATAAGCATTTTCAAAAGAAGATCCTGAAGTGCCTTGCTAGTCGTGACAGGGATTCTGTAAAACAATAGAAAGATATTGTTTGCATTAAATTAGCAGCTAGTAAATAATGTAGGAAGGAAAAGAAGGTGTAAAACAACAGGGGGGATTTCAAAATGCTACATGGCAAAGATAGACAAGAACAACAAAGCTTAATTTAACCACTGGAACTTTTGTAAAGGAAATCAAACGTCCAAATTCCTGAACGAGACAAACTTGTCAACTGCTCATTAGTGACCTGCTTCCAAATGAGATTTACTGAAGTTCTAATGAAAAGTCGTGACTGTGGGGTAAACTAAGTCGAACGTGGGGAAAAATACTCAACGATGGTATTGGATGAATGTCGCGCTGTATTTGAAAACTGACAAAAGTAGAAAACTGTGGACCATTGGATTCCGACCCATTGGCTTAACAGTAACGTGCTCACCACAAAACCTGAAGGCCATGGGTTTGGGTTATGGGTGCACACAGCTGAGAAGTCCCATACAAGGATGAGACAGCTGTTCTAGGCACCCAGGTTTCCAATATTTCTCCAACGGATATAAGTCCATGGTGAATACCAATTTCAAATCAAAAAAATCCCCGCAAACCTCCAAATTGTAAGATAATTTCGTCGCTCAAAAAAGACTGAAAGCTATCAGTTACAGGAAAACGCATACATTTTTACAGCCAATGAGGCCATATAAGCCCAATCATCTATATATATATATATATATATATATATATATATATATATATATATATATATATATATATATATATATATATATATATATATATATATATATATATATATATATATATGGTAATACTCGTAGCAAATCGGTTTCTGAACCATTCATTTACGAGCAACACATAGAAGGTTTTCCATGAAAGCGATCAAAACAGCTACTCTGGTTGTCACTTCTGATACAACAGTGTAATTAATACACGGAATAAAATATCTGGGGTAAAATAATTTGCTAGGATTGACATTCACTATTCGTTAAGAGTATTCCTCATGTAACAGGACTCGATTCTATCATCGATATGTATGCAAGTAGGAGGAATATTTACTTCTATAGTTATTTATGTTCTGGTAACCAATCTAGTGCTTTGAGTTTTAATTCGCAACTGACCCACTCACTTATATGAGACAATATTCAGACGGTCTCATCCCTTGTATCATAGAGTCTGTAGTATCTGAGGTCCAGACACAATCGATGAAGGGCTAAATGCTAAATTTGGAGGGACAGTTATACAAACAGTGAGAGTTTGTTAAATATTTTTCGTTATCATAATCCCAACGTGATTTACTAATAAGACATCTGAATATGTTGGACGGTGATCATTCCCAGACGTTTTCGATTTCATTTTACTTTAAATTTACTTGCTTGACATTATTATTATTATGTTTATTGATTAACAGTAATATCTCATGAACTTAGTTTACATCGGTCTTATTAGAACACTGTTAATTACTGCGATCATGTTTCCGTAAACGAATGAACAACAATGATTTCACGCAAACCTTCCATATTTTCCCATTTATTTCGCAAAATGTTCACCTGACTGACAAAACAATGTCTCACTTCTGGAACACAACCCACTAGCGTTACATCCCGTCAAAAACAAACACACAGACAATGAATAAGAATTTTATATCTATACGACTGTACAGTTCTTGAGAATGAATTCGTTAGAAAGGGTTTCCTTCACTGAACTATTCGACTTAATAGGTATATTCAGTGGAATAAATGGAGTTGTGCATCATCGGCTTAAGTATCTGACTTTTAACCGGTGGGTCATAGGCTGGAGCAGACAGTTATTACCACACTTGCATGATAGGCTTGACGCATTACGTAATACATGAAAACATGAACATAATGAGTCGCGTTATTATACGGTTTAAGGCAACGAACAGGGTATTTCGCTTCTAAGACGTGGAATTCAACTACGCTACCTATCATTTACGAGTCGTATAAACTGACTGACCGAATTAAAAATGGACAAGTTGCCACACTTCACAGAAGTACACAACGAACAAGTGGATAGAAAAAGAGTGACATAAAAGTAAACAAAGCAGTGTGAGAGAATAAACAGTCTGAAGATGAAAGTTAGTGTGAATATCCAAGCTTCAGAAGATATCATAGAGTTATGAATACATCTGCGCCACTGTGACCGATTTTCAGCCAAATCACCACGTGTCCTTAACCACTGATTCCTTTCGTCTCGGGGAACGGGTCGTATAAACAGAGAAGTAAGAGGCGTACTGATTTCCTTCATGAAGCAAAGTACATTGTATTGTGATTTACACCCATCCCGTAAGCCAGATACGAAAACAAAGATTTATCACTAGAAACCACTCTATAGAATGATTAAATCGAAATCGATTTATCATAAATTCTACTTAATAACTATATGGAAAATCTACTGTCTTCACAACTAGCTTCGTCACGTGAAAAGGCTGAATAATTTAACTGTTAATTTTAAGTTAAAGATCAATTTTTGTTTTTTATGAGTCTCTGTATAATAAAAACCGCAGACAGAAGCAACATGGGTGACTGTTTGATTCATTTACTTCGGTATTTACATCAGGGCTGATCAGAAATAAAAGTTCTCCAATAATACAGAGTTCATTTACCGGGAAGCGAGATATTTAAATACATACGATCAAGGCAAAATACCAAGTAGACATAAACCTCCGCCCTTTAACGATATTGGCTGACACACGTTGGTGAAGGTAGACAACATAAAGGTTATAGATATTTGATCAACACCCGGGAAAGCATAGTTTGTCCATGGTGAATCCATCAAGTCAATCACTCAGTATTAGTATACGACCTGATATTAAGATTAGATACATATTTTGAGCAGAAAAGGTATACCAGTTGATAAATTTGCAAACTTCAACTGATCACACAGACTGAATCTAGTAAATAATAATCAATAAAATGAAGACTACCCTAGTGACTACAGATTATGTTGACGCTTGCCTGGTGGCTAACAGTGGAATCTATGATGCGTGTTTCGTCCCACCTGGGATTCGTCAGCTGGATGTACCTGCGGCCCCAGTGAAGGATGTTGTTCCCACTGGGACCCGAACCCAGTACCCACTGTTTAAAACGCCAAGACGTCATCTATAAGGCCGATACTGTCTGACTACTGATTATGTTGACATCTGCTTGGTGGCTAGCAGTGAAATCCAAGAGGTGGCTCTCATGCCCCAGAGGCCTAGTGGATACTGTCTTGGCATTTGAAGCGATGGGTACTGGGGATGAGTATCAGTAGGAATAACATAACTCACTGGGGTGCAGGCACATCCAGCTAACTAGTCCCAAATAGGACAAAACGCGCGTCTTGAATTCCGCTGCTTGCCATCAGGCAGACATCAACATAATCCGTAATCAAAAAGTATCGAGGCGCCCTCATAGAAGCCCATCTACAAAACAAAAGTCATCCAATTCGACGCAGTATCGCAACGGGAGATTACAAATATCAAACAACAATTGGTTTACGAATTCATATCTTAGTTGTACTTATCATGGATAGGAAGACTAGGTAGCATTACAAGCGCTCACACATTCAGTATGTTTCTTAACTTAGTAAATAAACTTGTGAGGGGTCAAGTTGAAACATATCTAACCATTCTTCATGAAAACTTTAACAGCTTGTTGCAAAGTAGATATATGTTTCCCATCTACTCGCTTCCTACTATAGCTCACTTTAATGTTCGCCTCTCACCTTGGATTTTTAACTGTGATGTGCAGTAGTGTCAAGTGTTGCAGCGAATCCCTTATAGTCTTAAATATTTGTCTATCCATCAACTGGAGGTGAAATAACTATACGCCTAAGATGCTATATGGCCAACTGATTTAAATTGCTCAAAGAAAGTAGCATTTTAACCGAAAGAAGAATGAAAATATTTCGAAGACAAACAGAAATAAATAGACACCACTCACTTTGGTCGAAGACAGGCTGTTTTCTCATAGATGTTTTTTAAAGCTTCCGGAGTGTTGGCGTAGAATGGAGCCTTACCAGTTAAACACTGGTAAACAATAATACCCATACTCCAGATATCTGCCACCGCATCATATTTGCGACACATCAAAACTTCAGGAGCCTGTTATTAGACGGAAAACAAAAACTTAGATTATGATTATATCAACTTTAAAAACTAGTACGAACATCAGCTTAGTGTCAGTGAACCAATGACCTATCCTTCTAGTAAATACGTAAAAAGCAAATATAGGTGAACTTTATTTCCCTTAAGTTAATCACTTCGGTACAGAGTCTGTTTATTTGGTTATTATTATTGCACTTCACAAACACATGCAAACTGACAGAACAGCATAAATCAATCCGTAAACTAAGTACAGGCAACAGACAAATCCTAATGAATCGAAAAGAAATAGACCCAGCAATTACCAGCATTTTTGAAAGGCACACCTATTGTGTGAAGGTTTATGATGCTACCTGGATACCCAAACCTCGGTTGGCGAAGTGGGGTTTGAAACCGTGCCCCATAGGTTAAGAGTCAACTACCTACACCAATGAGACATAGTTCCACTAAATTCATCAGAATTATTTTAAATTCTGATGATAATATTCATGTACAAACACAAATATGTCAGCATGATACTAAATACCCCACTTAACTACTGACCTGTACCAGCTGTAGGGCTTATAGGTTTGATTAGTTAAAAAATCTAGGATTGGATTTTGTGATTATCTCCATTCCTCAGCAGGAAAGAGAGAGAGAGAGCTAATGCATACTGTGCGATATAATACCCAGAAACGTAAACATTGAGCTCCTACAGCCATCAATGGTGGAATCCTTGCGAAATTATGCTTCTTTATTTCTCAAGCCGATTACGTTCCTGGTTCAAAAAGTCGAATAGGTATTAGGATCTATAATATTACTGACATCACCGGTCTGATTTATTACAACCCAGTTACGAAAAAAGTGAGTGCGAAACATGCGTGATGCAGAACTATTTCATTGCTTTCTAACAGACTATATTTTATTTTTAAGGTAGTATTCATCGAGGACTGATATCAGTTGGAGGAAGATTGAAAACCTGAGGTCACTGTATAGGTGTTTCATCCTATTACTAGACTCCTCAGCAGTACGCACCCAAGACCTGGTTAGGGTAGAACTCAGGACCCTCGGGTTTCATGTCGAACGCGTTAGCCATTCAGCCACTGGGTCAGAGTGCAACGGCCTACAGTTTCCTACTTCTAGCAATCCGCGATTTCGCTCGAATATCATCTATTTTATCTCGCTATCAGCTTTATTTGTACATTCAGATAGCTCAGGAGATAAAGATAAACGCACAGCATTTTTTTGGATAAGCTAAATGTAAGAGAAATGTGGGGACGCGTGTCAGGGTATGTTTAATCGAATAACCATGGACGAAACTTAACACACGTGCACAGTATAAACAGCATTTCATATGACTTGAATAGCCTTGTGGCAAAGGCCCTAAATTTGGAGCAAAGTGAAGCGGGTTCGAACCTCTAACGGAAAGTGGATTACATCAAACTTATCAACCGGCGTTTCTATTCAGTGTCGACAAAAATGAAGCCTTAGTTCTTGGCATCCTGCCGACTAACTCCCAACGACTAACAACAAAATAATACCGCGTTGCGTCACTCATTTTAGTGAAAACATTGCAATATTCGTTGACAGACTTCGATGAACACTTTGTAACTGACAGTTGTTTGTCGATCATTTGTTTTAAAAAAGAATTTTGTCCCATTGGCGGTTTTATGAAGCTAAAACTGTAACAGCAGTAAATCTAGAGGTATAATCTTCCTAAAATGAATTCAAATTCTTCAAAGTTGCATAATAAAAGCTTTCGCTTTTACCAAAACTGCAATTCTCAGTAACCACAAACCAAACAATTACGGCACTTTTAAAAAAGCAATGAATATTATAACTACGTTTACACTATAACAAAAGGGATAAGCAGCTTTCCTGTGCGTAAGCCTACAGATAAGCACTCAAGTGCACTAAAGTAATATAACCTAAAAGATCCGAACATAAAAATACTAGAAAGTTGAATTATTTAAGCTACAAAACAGGACCTTTAATGAACTTAACATTCTTCACAGAGAAAGGATACCTATCGCAATAACTCATGTTAAGCGAATTAACCCTAAAGCAGATAGTTCGTTTGTTCGTCACTTAAGAAAAAAAATAGGTTTGCTCAAGCTGAGTATTTAGTGTATAATTCTTGCCAGTAATGAGCGAATAATGGTAACTTATCAAAAGTTGGAAAGAAGAATAACTGTTGCACTATCTGGGATATCCCATGAACCTGCTATTCAAATATTTTTAAACATTCCATACCTAACCTATAGTAAATAACCTGAAAAATAGCTCACCATGTACATAGGTGATCCACACATTGTCACTGCCATCATCCCATCTTGCAGAAACCTGGCGAATCCGAAGTCGGCTAAAATAAAAATCGAAAATTGTGAACAGGAGGTGGCAAAATTCTTATTTGTGATACATTTCATGACACCAAAATGTGTCAGAAAGTGGTTCATTTATATGTCATGTACAAAATATAATGTCAATAGACACAAACTAATATGCAAATGATGAGAATTCTGAAAGATATATAGCTAAATTGGATGTAACCCTTGCTTCTTTAGGACCATTCAGATGCTTGTAAAATACAATCAAGTCATGAAACAGAAGAGGATTGAAGTAAAATCAAAACTATGACATTACCATTAAAATACAAGTCAAACTGAACAACCAAAGCAGAAACAAGATTAGTCTCAAATTGTTGAAGATTATGAGAAATAAAAAAACATGCAGTGATAATTTATGTATTAGTAAGACTATGTTCATGATTGATAAAAAAAATCTTAACTTCAAGATTTTATTTGCTGCCTTACTTAAGTGTTGACTTGGTATTTCACAAATGCTTGCATTCCAAAATATTTGAATGTGACAGTGAGTAGTATGTGCACTTTGCAGTATCTAAATGAAAAGAATGTCTACAAGACTGGCCAACACTTGTCTCGAATCACTTACCAAAACAAAGCATTAAGAAAAGTCGAACAGTCTGAGTCATGTAGGGAGGTGCAGACTACTTGGCTGGGGTCTTTGAGAAGATAAGTATCAATGGTTGAGAACTCTTGAAATGATTGAAAACCGGCCACAATACCGCAGAAGTATTCACTGTGTGACATCCTGTAAAGCTAGAATATTTTGACTAACCTTCGTATGTAAATTCCTTTTCCTCCCATACACCTTTGTCTGCTTTGGTATGTTTTTTTCTATCCACTTGTTTGCCACAATCAAAATTGGGATCCTGAGCCGATGTACGTGTGTGCGAGGATCCACGTTGATTTTGTTTGTTTTTCGAATGCATCGACCACTTTACTTGTGGAGTTGCATCGGTCCGAACGGGTTAGATGGTGAGGAAATCTCAGCATGGATGCAAAAGGCCCGTTAAGCATTTGCTAACTAGCGTCATCTGCGGCGCCGGCGAAATATCCGACTATCTATGAAACGATGAGTATACTGCGCTGCAGTCCGTTTTGCCCTGTTATACGGTTGTGAGACATGGCCGTTGAAAGTATATTGTGAAAAGATTATGTTTCCAAACACAGGTTTCTTTGTAGCAGCATTACTTAAGAATGGTGGAATTACCGTCTGAGCAATGTCAACATTACACGAAGTGTACTGGGAAAGGAAAGCAAGTTAGTACATAAGGTTGTGAACCTCCACAGATTGATGTAGCTAAGATGGGTGCTGCAAATGGCCGGCCGCCACCCCCACCCCCCCAAAGTGCAATGTAAGCGAAAGAGAGAATAGGTAAGAATAAGGCACATGAGGGCCAGATCAAAACGTGCTATCAGTCCATGAGTTCCCTGACTGTTGGTTCAAGCTCTGTAAGGAGGTATTAACTTCTTGGTGACTGACCGAAAAAATCAACGTAGAACTTCGTACACAGCTGCATCGGCTCCGATCGCTACACATCATAACAGTACACAAAGAATAGGTGGATAGAAAGAGAGTGATATCATAGTATATAAAGCAGTGTGCGAGAATAAACAAACTGAAGATGAAGGTTAATGCAAATATTCAAGTTTTAGATGCCAAGGAGTGAATACATCTGCGCCACTGTGACCAGTTTTCAGCCGTTACCAAAAGTTCTAAACCACTGATTCCTTTCTTCTAGAGGACCCTGATCAGGCAGATTACATTCATCCACACAGCTCAGACCAAAAGTAAGAGACTTCATCGACTGATGCCAAGTCTCAAAGCCGTACAACAGAGTAGAAGGGACCGCATAGCAGTATACTCATCGTTTGATATATAGTCGGATATTTCGTTGGTGCCACATATGACACTAACTGAAAAATGCTAAACGGGTCTTCTACATCCGATCAGCTGGGATTTCGTCAACAACCAATCCATTTGGGCTGGTGTGACTTCCTAAGTAAGTGAAGCGGTCAACACATTCCAACACTTCACTCCTTATCATTAAACTGGGAGCACTTGCACACCAGTCCTGTAGCATCGTCTTACATTTGACAAATGTGAAACGTATGCCAAACGTGCACAGATTTCTGCTTAGTGTTAAGAAGACCCTGCATTTTGTCAACGTCTTCACCTACCAGGACAATACCGTCTGCATACTCCAAGTCAACAAGATGACCTCCAGGGAGCAGAGCGATCCCTGTAAAATCAGACGAACCTAGGATTATGTCCATTAGTACGTCTATAAGGAGGTTAAACAAGAACAATGACGGGAAATCCCTGCCGCATACCCCTAATCGTCATCAGTTCACATAACAACCCTCCATAAGCCCTTACATGGCGGCGTGAGTTCGACTGGAGAGCTTTGATTAGCATTATTTACTGTCCTCACAGTCGGATACTGACACATCTCATGGTTGACAGAGTTGAATGCCGCCTTCAGGTCAACAGATATGGCAAGTGTCGGCCGCTGGTGAGTATGTCTGTGTTTCGGAATCTGTTAGCGGGTGAAAATATGATCGATACACCCTCATCCAGGTCTGAAACCTGACCGGTTTATTCGAATTCCAGTTACTGATCGAATAACTAAGGGCCCTAAGATCTCGGGCACAAGATTAGTCAAACTAATTCCCCCTATGGTTGCCACACGAAGACTTCTCCGCCTTCTTATAGACGGGGATGATCAGTGAAGTACACCAGTCTGAAGGCCATAACTCTGATTCTTATACAATACCTAGTACTTCCATCACGTTATTCGGCGATTTCCTACCTCCATCCTTGAAAACTTTAGGGGCCAAACCACAAGGTCCTGCTGCTATCCATAGTTTCAGGTTCGATACAGCTTCCTCAACTTCATGAAGAGTTGAAGGACAGACATCTACGTCCCATTCAGGTTAAGGTTGGATATTAGGGAAGTGAAGCGTTGTTGGGGGCCACTTTAAGTGTGCTTTAAAGCGTTCTGCTCAACGTTCTAGCCGTTTGTCCTGGGAGATCAACAGTGTTCCAATCCTTTTAGTAATGGTTTCACACACCATCGTCTTTTTCTTGACAGTATCCTTAATGAGCCTAAATAGTTGTCGAGTGTTACCCAACCTGTCTTCTCTATCTCTTTCGTCACCCAACACTGCTGGCGATCGACGTGAAGACTTTTGGTCAGCTGAAGTTTAAGTTGCCTTCACTCTTCGTAGTGGACAGAGCCAGCTGGAATCAGTCTTCTCGCATTAACCAGTTCGGATGACGTCGCGGAAATTCAGTGATGTTTGGTTACCTTCGGATGTAAGTTACCAATAGTCGTCTTTGCCGCTGTTTCTACAGCAGACTTAGTGTCATGCCAGGTTTCCTCAGGATGAACTTTATTGTTTTGTTCAGATAAATGCTTGGCTATCTCTTCCCTAAATGTGAAACTGACGTTCTCACCTTTCAACTGACTACAGACATGCTTTACTATCACCTGTTCCATGCGACCAGTAAGGTGCAGACATACACGAGCCCCTACTAGAGTGTGACCGGAGTGCAAACCTGGTACTCTAGAAACAACCCTCCACCGATCTCCTCAAACGATGGCCTAAGGCAAAATGATCTATTGGTGTTCATGGTTAGTTTGAAGTCAGTAGACACCATATGAGACTGCTTCTCCTTATGCCTAAAGTTAGTGCTGGCCAGAAACAAGTTATTGTCGGGACAAAATTGCAACAGACGATCACCATCACAGATTCCTTCGCATGGGATTCCGTAAATACCATTAAGGTGCTTTTCTGGTTGCCTGGACCTACCTACGTGAGCGTCAAAGTAACCCGCCATTATGACTAAATCTGAAAGTTTGGCTTTCTGTGACAAAGTTGACAGCTTCTCATAGAATTCATCCTCTGCGTCATCTGAACTGCAGTAGAAGGCTAGATAGGCGGAGATTACAAATGATTATCGACTAGTCTCTGAATCCTTTCTAATCCATACAGACCCATTCTATCTAACAGCACAGCTGTTAACTGGTATAAAGTCGAGAAGTGCACTTTCTGCACAAAAACTCAATGCTACGCCTACACCAGCGAGTCTACCAGAGCTGGCCATCCGGTCTCCAGATACTCTTAAGGTGAATTTAGAAGATTCACTAATATGGTCAGGTGAGATCAATTTAATAACAATACTTGGATCCTGTAAACGTGTCTCAGAGACAAAACATGCATCCGTGGCTAGAGATTCCACAGTTTTGGCGAGTGATGTTTGTTGTTCTATTCAGTGTGGAGTTCGGACGCTGAAAGCTCCTACATTAAATTGATGGGGAGTTTTTAGGAGACTAGGAATGAGGTTTCGACGGCTTTGTTCATGGGCAATGGTTGCAGAGTGAGAGGATGGGTAGGGCGTGGGAGGCTTAATATTAGTATCAGGACGTGAAGTCAAGGGAGGAGACAGAGTTGAGGAGAATAGGTTACGTTGGATTAGGTCTTGTGTATCACTAAAAGGGTGCGGGTGGTTGATACTTCCCGGCTGTTATTTTTGGAGCCAATATTTTTCGACCTCTAACCCTCTCCTTATGGAAGGCAGCATCAGCATGGCACTACTGATCATCCACGGGAAACACATTATTGTTGCCACACCCCAGCCAACTAGCAGGACGACTTCAAATTCAGACCCCTTTTATAGTGTAGTAATTTACACTACAACGATAACTTCTCTTCGTCTTACAACCTAGCAGATCTTCCTGGTATGATAGGACCTCGAAGGAACAAGCGTTCCACCATTATAGCTCGTTGGGCCATTGTGATATGCAAGTCCGATCACTACGTTAAGGTAGCAGGTATCGGTCGGGAAACCTTTTTGCTTGGGTTCCTCGAGAGGATAGGAAATAACGGTTGGAGGCCTTTGGTGAAGTGGATGAAAACCGGTTACAATGGCGCAGATGTATTTACTGTATAACGTCTTTCAAAGCTTGAAAATGTTTCACGAACCTTGAATTTTAAATTCATTTCTCTCCAACAATTCTCTCTTTTTTTCGCACTTGGTCTTTGCATGCTGTTGTGAAGAGTAGCAATTTGAACACGGATTTCTGTGCGAAGTTTCAAGTTGATTTTATCTGTTTATCCAACCTTTAGTACCTAAAAAGCTGATAATTTAGTATCGCAGAACGATGTTTCACACTTAACTTAATGACTTTATCATATTAATGGGCGATTTGTTTCATTTAATAATAAAGTCAATTGCTGGAGGTATTGAGTTTAGGAGATAGTATGCCTAGATTTTATAGTGAGGTTATTCTAGTTTTGGTTATTACTGTGTATATAAAATCTTTATACTACTTTACTTTAACACACGCTCAGTAGAACATGGTCACTGACGAACAAGATACCACAATATACTATAACTTCTACAAGGTAACAAGTAAGGTTTAAAGAATCTGGTGATGATCAGAAAAGAGGAAGTATGGTAAGAAAGCCTCGTGGTTTAAGTGTTACTATTAAATATTCAACGGAAGAAGAAGACTACACTGCAATCACCAGTAGTTAAGATTCTAAGCCATGTCACGTGTTGAATCAGAGTTTCATGAGCTTCCGAACATCTCTGAGGAATTCACGGTGCCAACAATAACTCACTGGCTCAAATACTAGACTTCTATCCAACAGGTTCATAGTTCAGATCCTGCTCGACATACTTCGATTTGTGCATTCGCTAAGTATCGCATGCTTTAAACTAAGTCTGGCTCATTTCCTAGTGTGCATACACTCACCGGATAAGTCCTGAGTGAAGCTAAGAAAAACAGAACTCGAGAAATTCAGGTAGGTTTCAGAACTGGGTGCAGGTGTATCAACCAAAACTTAACCCTTCATTAGGTCTTGGAACTTATACAAACTTGTCCGCACCCAACACTAAATGGATTTATTGACCTTAATTTGACACTTAACTCAGTCTGATAATAATGTCTCTAGCCGTAATGGGTGATGAGTGAGCACCTCGCACTGTTGAGAGTACCACATTCTCACACCAGTATATGTGTGTTAGAGAGTGATCAGTATCATTACTATTTGCTGATATGCTTGTAGTTCTTCGTTGTTTTACTGTATAGAATTACCCGACCCCTATTGGCAAATGAGCTCCTATGTGGATGCCTCGATATCGCCTGAATATTCAATATGATAATTTACTTGGTTGGGTTAGCAGGAGAATCTAGGACGCGCGTTTCATCTTATTTGGGACTCGTCGGCTGATGTGTCTGCATCACAGTGAGTAATGTTATACCCAAGTAAATTATCACAATAAACATTCAGGCAATATCGAGGAATACGCATAGGAGCACATATGCCAATAGGAGTCGGATAAGTCGACCCAATAAAACAACGGAGAATTACAAGTACCTCAAGAAATAGTAATAACCCGTCACACAAGAGGTGGCTATCGTGCTTTAGTAGTCTATTGGATAACGGCTTGGCGTTTGAAGCGATGAGTAAGAAGTTCAAGCTTCAGCGGGGACAACTTTACCCAGTGTGGTGCAGGCACATCCAGCTGAAGAGTCCCAAACATGACGAAACACGTGCCCCGGATTCTTCTGCTACCCACGATCAAGTAAATTATCAACTGGTATTCAGTTTAAAAGTCTTACTTATAAGGAAAGTTTCCATAATTCCTTCTACTCGATAGCTTAAGAAGTACCACTCAATTTGCACAGGTAGTAGAACCAAAAAAATTAACTACTAAGACTTATTTATGATACATGATAAAAACTCAAGAAGGAAGCTAAAAACGACCTGTAAATAACACTTTCTAATATAACTCTTAAAAATGTCATGAGCATGCGAAAATGCCAAAATGCATGGATATGTAAATAAAACTATTAACTAGATTCTTACCTAGCTTGAAGGAGAGTAGATAACCAGGAATAGCAGTAACATGCTGACCACAATCCCTGCAGTGACTGAGTAAAATATTCCCTGGTTTCAAGTCCCTATGCATAAAACCCTTCCGATTCATAGCATCCATCGCCGATCCTATTTGTATTAAAAAGTGACGGATTGTATCCTCTGGTAGAGTGCGTTTGGCTGGAAAAATTAGGCAAAGAAAAGGAATACTTACCTTGCAAGTACTCAGACAAATCACCACCATTACAGTATTCCATGACTAAATACACTCCAGTACTGGATATCTACGAAAGTACATAATTATTGGAGACATAAACATACGCTGTGATCATATAGTCGAACAATGTTCTCGTGATTAAGGTCCTGAATGTGATGCATGATGAAAACAAAAGAACTAACCTTTAAAACGCATATTTCCTTGCTGAGAAGTGTCTTCGATTTTAAAACATTCTGGTCTTTTAACATAATTTTTATTGCAACAAGTTCATCTGGGTTCTTCATAGAAAGCGTTTTAGTTAAAATGCTAAACCCTACATTTCTGACTCTCCCTTTGTACACAATAGCAAATGCTCCATTACCTAAAACATCCGCTGGGTTGTATTCATAAGCTCCTAAGCTTATCATTTCTTTGAATATAAGAGAATTTATGCGACCACGAACAAGCAATTGTACGGAATATGATTTTAAACACCACAGTTAATTGAAAAACCTTCAATAGTGTTGTGATATCCCCAAATTTATTTAACAAAGTGAGCTTAAGTAATCAACGGACGGTAATGTAAAGTGTAAACAACACATAATGTCATTTTACGGTGCAAGTCACCGTCTTCACAGTAAGTCAGCTGATGGTTATATATCTCAAAGATGGCGCTATCGTACAATTAACAATATATTTCATAGCCTTAGGCAAAAAATGAAACTGCTTTGTTCCAGAGATCTTAAACAGGAACTTCCGTAATGGAAAGAGAAAAGGAAGCAAAAAATTACGGTTTCGATAAAAAATCGACCAAACAGATAAGAGGATAAAACAGAGGGAAAAAGAAGTTAAGTCAGATTTCTATTTAAATATTTGATAGTAGAATTCTATAAACCTAGCTAGTATTTTTCCAGCCAACATCTCTGCTTCTTTATTCCTCTCTGGGACGAATCAACTGATGACGTGGGCACTACTTCTGGGAGTTGGTTCCGGCAACTGATCTTCGACACAAATACTAGTAATCGACAGGGACGACCTTCGACCTATATTTTCGCACTTTCCTACTATTTCCTTTGAAGATTTTCTGTCTTGTGGAAAGGATAATTCAAGGTGTCATTTTCAGAGTCATTTCTTAAGACCCTCTATATATACAAACCAAGTTGGAATTCTATGGTTTGAAAAAATTGAGTAGATGATGCTCATTGTTTGCCTATCTCCCCCAATGAATGTGAAACAGAATAAATCCATTTCAGATGACGTTTTGCTTTTGAGCGCTAATAATCATGCCAAAGTTAAGGTTATAGGATTTACGTTACCGAAGCTCATGTACAATAGCTTGAAAAGTGTTCTTCTGCATGAATTATTCTGCGATGTCAAAGTTGAGAAATAAAGATGACATCCATTTGTGGCGTTTTGTACGTGAAGAGTGCAGGAACTAAAGGCCGAGATTCGTGTGTGCACATGCGGTATATGCTTTCATCGTTTGTATGTTTGTTACGTTAGTATATCTTGAATAATGGTTATCCGATCTCCCCTTTGACTACTGTTAGATCAATATAAGAGGTTAGGCTAAGTCATACTTCTTGGATTGGGTTTAATATGACAAAGATCATACGGACAATTGGTTTCAGGACTGTAGTCGGAAGGTCTGAGTCAACTTTCGTACAATCAATTGCGCGGTTTTCGAACTTAGACCTACCTTAGGATGTATGTATATTAGGGTGAAATATTACCCACAAAGCCCTAAAGTTCCAAGGTACCACCAGTCGACACTGTTATGTGGTCTTCAGATCATAACTTACTATGATTCTTATGCCGTTACGGGTTAATATCGAGGAGAGAGGAGTCATATACATATCGCGAGTGTTGCCACCTGCTTGCTTCATGTGCACGCTCACACATTTACCTACTTTGATAGACACCAAACAGTTATCTCACCGGGTTAGAAAACTCTGTACCTGCCTGAAGTGTACATCCGCCCTCGTCATCTCCAGTTTCTCTCCAGATTTTTACAACGTAGAGAACTATCAGGTACGTCACCTTACTCGGTTGTTTAATTGTGCACGGGACAAGTATCAGGGGGCGCTGGCCATGCAAAGGAATCTTCGGTGTAAACCGTACTAAGAGCCTGACGAAGGAATATTGTTTCATAGACGAACAGTGGTGGCGTTTTAGGAGCTGTCGTTGTGTGAACTTGGCAGACGCAAAGGCCAATCAATACTTATTGCTGCTTGTAATATCCCCGCGAATACCAGACCAAGGAAGAACACAATAACGTAGTCAGATGGAGGTCGCGTCGAAATACAAGTGCATTTCGACTGGCTGGCTAGGGGGCCGATTACGGGCAGCGCGACTTAACACGACGATGTGCCAAGTGACTTGGGTACTTGACCGCGTACCTTCAGCTTAGCGAGTTCTATAAGACTGTGAAGGTCAGCATCTATGTTGATTCTCATAGAACCATGGGCTTACGATTCTGGAGAGGTATGTGGGTCTATAGCCTTTCCCTTCCTAGGAGTCTGCCATGAAAAATATTCTGGGTGCTACACGGTAATCTGTGAGTCAAGAGACTCAGTGTCACCGCTTCTATCACCATCGTTTTCTGGATGTTAACTTCCTCGTCATGGCATTCAGAAATGCTTTTGCTCCTAAAACGATCTCGCAAATCTCCATACAACATTACAGATAAGGTTTATATCAGTTTGCTATTTGTATGCCGTAGGCACAGGGCCCTCAGGGCCATCATGGCACCATTTTTCACATCCCTCGAGCCGAATATCAGAGGCCACTGGGAACCTATACTCCTGTCCAAAATTCCCAGCCAAACGTTTGGGAGGTTTCAGTCAAATTTGATATAAAGCAAATGACGCGCAAGTGGGATTATGAAACGCCATTACCCTGGGCCAAAAAATAGGTGATCCATCAAAACATAGCCTAGTATTTAGTCACACGACCCTTTAATATTGAGAAGATTGGCACGGAAAAACAAAATCGAAACGTCTTAGTGGTATTAATTTATTCCAACAGCCCATTGTGTGTTTGCGCTAGACATATGATGGCTGAGAGATGCTGCGGTGGTGTTACAGCTTTTCTGAAGCTATTGTTGCAGTTAACGAGTCCCCAGAACAGTAGCTTGAAGTCTGATGTTGGCTAGTGCAGATGCTCAACTTTACAGTTGTAGAGGATATGCTAGACTGCAGGTCTGTGGATAGGGATCCGCAGCTTGTGGCAAGCCACCATAAGTCACGACTAAGGTTCATAATCATCCAGCGAGACATTCGCGCATCCTGAAATACTGGCGTGATTTGACAAATGAGCTGTTCTCACTCGGTTAACATACTTTGATCTTTGTTCTCGCATTTGTGGATATTTTGCGGATGTGAAAGGTTGGCGACTGAGCCATTCGCCTGTCATGGTTTCAAGTGACAATTCCCTGATCGTGAGCGATTGAAGCACTGACTACTTAAGCTGGTAGTGCGTCCGTATACAGGTTGCCATGATTGTCTCCATTGCGACCATTTGCTGCCTTCTTGTTTCGGTGAATAACTTCGCTTAAGCTACTGCGACTCTCCCTCTAGTCGCTCTATATCCTTCATCCGAAACATGTGCAAAGCTGAGTTCCATCAGTCAGTCCTCTCATAGCCGGTGTAACGTCTATTATTACTTGTTCCTTGGATTTCTTCAGTAAAATAGTGGCCTTCTTCGAGTGTGGAAATGCAGCAGCACGACGCAGTTCAATATGATATTTCGCACATTTCTTCTGAAGATTGCAGAGAAGCTAAGCGATAGCATCGTGCATTCTCCAATGTGCAGTGTATAATGCAGCTGTGGCTTTCGTGGCGTCATCTTGTTCGCCTATGCTAATAATCACGTTTTCTGTCAAGATATGACCAGGATCGTACGCAAAGTCTACATGAAAGCATGTAGGAAGCAGGGATAACTGAGAATAGTCTGCGAAACAGAAATGTGCAGGTTTGTGGAGGAAATGAACTGAGTTTCAAATGGAGTCACATGCCCAATTTTAAACCAGGATGGTGAACTCTGCCAGCTAACTTCCAAAAACTAGTGCAGTTACTCCAGGATACCATGCACCTTATTCACTGGTCATCCAGAAACCCCAAATACATCAGCGGCTTCTACCGGAGACATCTCTTATGCCGCATCAGTCATATTACTGGAAGTCGGTGTTTGAACTGCATACTAGGCGTTACTCCCCCTTTCTCCAGCGCTGCTTTCTCATGTACAGTGTTCAGAGACTTATGCGGGTTCACTCGTGCACTATTCTCCGGCCTTTCCGCGGTAAAAATTTATTTCAATCGTTTTCCATCTACTATGCAACACCCTTAAATCGACCACACATCTCGACTAGGAAGCCGAGAAGCCTAAGGGCTGTTAACAAGGCTACATATGACAAAGTGCACAGTGTGAAGCTCGCAGAAACCATCGTGTAAATTGCAAACAAGTTAGAGGACGAGTCAAATATAACAATCATTAGCTTCTTGTTGTCCGTTACTTGAGCAAAAGTCGCACAATAGCCGTGGGATTAGCTTTAGGTCCTTCTACGAAGCTTGCGACTGCAGATTACGTAGAGTTTTGTTCAGAGAAACTCAATTCGTTCCACCAGCAGATGTGCGCTATGTAACCTGTTCACCCCGAATCCTGCGCGTAGTCAAACAGCTGTGTCAGCAGCAGCAGGTAGGCTTGGTGCGATCATGTATCACCCTCCTAGCGATTTCGGTAACAGATAAGATTAGGGCAACTGATTGTTGTCGCGAAGCCCTTTTTGCCCTCCCTCCTCATTACGTAAATAACTGCCGCCTGTCACAGCCTCCAGATAACCTCTGTGGGATGAAGCACTGCTGAAAATTTGCTGCTTAAAAGACTCTTAGAACGTCTGCTCACATTTTTTATTGGTGACCTAATCATCGTTTGTCACTTGTAGTTGGGGTAACTTCAGCTTCTGCTTCAGTACCTACCAAAAAGCGCATCCGGGCAAAGTTATCCGTTAAATGAAACAGGTTACAACCAAGTGCTTCTAAAGTGATGTCCGTCCCCATTATTTGCTCATTTATGCACTTCTCCGCTGTTTTGTCACAGGTGCAACGTCCGGTTTTTGTTAATGCGAAGACAGTACTTCCACTTATCCCACTAGGATGTTCCAATATGTGAACATGCAGCACTTATATCTTCTGGTGACAACGGGTGGGGATTAGGATTACCTTCCATGAAGACAAGTGTAATTTATATATAAACTCATTCATACCTGTAAAATGGTATGCTCCTGTACACTCAGGAATTAATATTATTATTATTGTGGGAGCCGGCACCACACCAAGTATAGCAAAAACAGTATGCGGATGGGAACTGAAGGGATTTAGATCACAGCTTTGGGTTCTTGACGAAGATTTGCCCCCTGCGTAAGATAAATAGGCACATCGGAATTGATGTTCTTATACTTTGTCACCCGCACTACACAGTTGTTTGTAGATTGTGGTTGGGCTGTAGCATCAAAATTTTGCGCAGTCCCTGGATGTTGTTGGAAAAAATTCTCCGCCCATTCGGTGCAAACTGGAAATGCCATAGCTGCCAAGATGTGCAATTTTAGTTTGAGAACACCAGATGCACTATTTGCTGCTCCAGCTAATTTGAGTAAAAGGAGTTATTGACAGA